TGACCGCTGCATGACTGACCGCTGCATGCGTGACCGCTGCATGCGTGACCGCTGCATGACTGACCGCTGCATGAGTGACCGCTGCATGCGTGACTGCTGTGGTGGTGGAAGTACAACCTTTAAAGTGGAGCATTTTCTGCTTCTTTATATTTCTACTCCACTACATTTCAGAGTAATTAAAGATAGAACATTTAAAAATGTACAATAATATATGATAAACAAACAAGCAAATAGTACGTTAAGACAAGTATGTTACTAAAGTGATTGTGTATTTAAACAGTCTGCAGTGGAACCTTCTTTCCATTGATCATCTCACGACCCCTCAGATTTATCTGGTGACCCTCAAGAGGGCCCCGACCCCTACTTTGAGAACCACTGGACTAAACTACCTGACCGTGTATAAAGAGGAGCGGTTACAGCAGTAACATGCTGCTCTAACGCTGATGCTTCAGCAATAAGATGTTACGTTTAGTAATCAGCTGCAGAGCCGAAGAAGTACTTTTACTTTGATACTTTAAGTACTTTTAGCTGATAATACTTCTGTACTTTTACTTAAGATTTTTAGTTGTAAAGGAGTATTTTTACATTGTTGTAGTGATGCTTTTGATCTGAATACCTCTTCCACCTCTGCATGCTGTTGTGTTTCAGTTGCATCATTATCAATAAAAGATGTGTGCACTCACCTTTTTTACCTGTACTGTATATTCATTTGTTATTGTCGTGTGTGTGCGTGTGTGTGTGCGTGTGTGTGTGTGTGTGTGTGTGTGTGTGTGTGTGTGTGCGTGTGTGTGTGTGTGTGTGATCAGCCCACGCGTCCTGACCGTGGCTGGTTGGTGATGCCGTTCGGTAAGAACCCCTGGTGGTGGTACGTGGCCAGCTCCGTCCCAGCTCTGCTGGTCACCATCCTCATCTTCATGGACCAGCAGATCAGCGCCGTCATCGTCAACCGCAAAGAAAACAAGCTGAAGGTAAAGTAACCGCCATAAACACCGGCTTCTTTTACTTTAAGCCTGACTCTAATACAGGCCTGCTAATACAGGCCTGGTACCCGGTGTAGTTGAGGTGAATATCTAATCATTATGTGTGTTTCCTCTTCCTGTCTGGCAGAAAGGCTGTGGCTACCACTTGGACCTGTTCTGGGTGGGTGTGCTGATGGCCGCCTGCTCCTTCATGGGTCTGCCCTGGTACGTAGCAGCTACCGTCATCTCCATCGCTCACATCGACTCTCTGAGGATGGAGAGCGAGTCCAGCGCCCCCGGAGAGCAGCCACAGTTCCTCGGAGTCAGGTAAGACGGTACTGACACTGTGTGTGTGTGTGTGTGTGTGTGTGAATCCTTTCCGCTGTGTTTAATACTGAATGAATCTTTATTTGTAGGGAGCAGAGGTTGACGGGCATTCTGGTGTTTGTTCTGACTGGACTCTCAATTTTCCTCGCTCCAGTTCTTCAGGTATGTTCGTAGACACGTGAACATGGCCGATTGTGTGATGTTTCTTTAACACTTACTTTAATGCTGTATTTTAACTGCTGTTGTGTTTTGCTCAGTACATCCCCATGCCAGTCCTGTATGGAGTGTTCCTTTACATGGGCGTGGCCTCCCTGAGTGGCATCCAGGTAGAGAGTATATCACGTTCATGCGTATATCCATGTGTTACTTATGTTATCCATAAGAAATGTTCCTGCACAGAATAACAGAGGTAGAGATCAAACAGGAGAATAGTTGTGGAACACGTTCTGTCTCTTTGTGTTCCAGTTCTGGGAGCGTATCAAGCTGTACCTCATGCCGCCCAAACACCAGCCAGACTTCTCCTTCCTGCGTCACGTCCCTCTGAGACGCGTCCATCTCTTCACCCTCGTCCAGATCATCTGTCTGGCCGTCCTCTGGGTCCTGAAGTCCACCTTCCTGGCCATCATCTTCCCAGTGATGGTGAGTGTGTTACCCTCTGTGGTATTAATCAGGGTATCATTCTTATAAGATCAAAAATCACTTTTTTAATTTAAATTAGTTGATTGACAGAAAATTAATTGGAAACTATTTTGATAATTGCTGCTTTTACATGGATGCATAACTACTAATAATCGAATGCTAGAATATATAATAGTAGACGTTTTTTTTACTTTCAGTACTTGTATCAGAGTATTTTTCCAGTGTAGTACCTGAAGTACATCCTCCTCCCTCTGTGCGTATAGATTCTGGGTCTGTTGGTCGTGAGGAAGCTGCTGGATCTGATGTTCTCACAACACGACTTGGCCTGGCTGGACGACATCCTGCCGGACAAAGACCAGAAGAAGAAGGAGGATGACAAGATGAAGAAGAAGGACAAGAAGAAGGCGGCAGAGCCAGAGAGCGATGAGGAGGTGAGGGAGACGTTGACAAATGTACACAAACATCTGCCTGCCAGACACACACAGCTACTGTCATCTGTTTCCTCTGTAGTTACTGTGTATTTAAACGTGTGTCACTCCATCTGTTGTTAGTTGTGTCGATCCTGGTTTGTTGTCTCTGACTAACACTGTACGTTTCTCCTCTCTGTCCCACAGTGTTGCTGAAAAGGCACAACACTTACTCCAGTCTTTCTGTCCATCCATCCTCCTCTTACACGCGTCTGTCTAGCTCTCCCACTGTTGTTCACATGATTGTGACTGAAGGATAAGGCCGGTGCTTAGATATATCCAATGAAAAGACGAACAAATCAACGATGTTTAAGGTCACACCAGAAAGTGAAATGAATCCTTGTGTCCTCTCGAAGTCCTGAAGTTTAAATCTGTGAGAAAAGAAAGAAAGATGGATCACAAACATGTTGTGGTTAAACAGAATTTAAAGCTATGAAACTGAAAGTGTGGCGTCTCTTCCTGTACTACGCTGAATCTAAGCTTCACATCTCCTCACATGTTATTTAGACTTAAAGTTATTGTCATTATTTTTTGGACACAAAGCATCTGCAAATCTTCTGATATTGAATTCTCAAGCAACTCCTCTTTTTAATATATTTGTATTTCTCTTTATTTTATTTCTTTGCGTTTCTGTTTGTTTTTAACCTTCTGTCAGTTTTCTTTTATTATTTTTGTCCTTTTTGCTCTTTTGTTTGTAAAACACAAACATGTTAATTTCATTGAACTTATATGTAAACTTGAAAACTAATAAACAGAATTTAAAAAGAAGGTGGATCACAAATATATATTTTCATTATTACAAAACAATCCTCAGTAATTTCCTGAAACAGCTGGTCACTGTCCTGTTTACCAAACAGACGGGAGGACATAGTGTATGTGTAGGGACCATTGTTAGCGGTGGTTTAATCCACATTTAGGGAAAAGTGTCTGTGGGTTTGAGTTCAAATGAACTACAGAGTGTGTGTGTGTGTGTGTGTGTAATGTGTGGATGAAGTGTGGCTCATTGATGTGTTTTCAATGGACCACTGTGGCTCAGAGGAAGAAGCTGTTTGATGATAACAAAAATAAAGGATACATGGAGTCTTATTCTTTAAAATCCCAGTTTGTCCCGCATGCCGACCTCTTCGTCTTTTTGTCCCTCAGCCCAACAGCCCTGTCCCCCCTGCAGTGAAGATTCCCGTGGAGGCCCCAGAGCCCCACACAGAGCCCCACACAGAGCCCCACACAGAGCCCCACACAGAGCCCCACACAGAGCCACTCCCCATCCATGTTAACCCTCCCACCAAAAACCGAACCTCTGATTGTGAGTGAGTAAGCCGACCCTCTCCTCCATCTCTTGTTGTGTCAGTTTAAATGTTTGATACCATTTATTGAATGTGATGGATGAAGCGCTAATAGAGCTTTTTGTTGCTCTTGATGATCATTGAGAGCTTTCACATTGACTACTTTTACGAGCACACAAGAATATCATTTTTTATAATTACATCGGCATTTTACACTGTCACTTTTTTAATAACATTTTTACTATGACTTTTTATTACATACAAAATATGACTTATGACAACATAATTGTATTTTTTATGATTTATTATACAATGACTTTCATGAATGTACTATTCATTTTTTATGATGTTCAATGTCTTATTACTACCAATTCTACTGTCACGTTTTATGTCATACTATACAGTGATTCTTTGTATGTGATTTTTTGTTATAACATAGAAATACATTTTTTTATTAAGTATGCCAAAAACTGTAATAGCACGTCAAAAAAAGTCATTGTATAGCATGTGGAAAAAAGTCACAGTATAACATGTCGAAAAAAGTCATAGCATAGCATGTGGAAAAAA